AAAAAGACTTCACATTTGAGCATTGATTAGCGTTAAATGTTCGCAGCTTCGGAATACCTTTCGTTTAATTTCCTCTTTGTTAACTTCTAATGGAATCTTTTTGGGTATTGCACTAACTTCGAAATCGCCAAGCGTCGAAATAATTTCCATAATAATTTGATTGTATACTAAAGGGCTTCTTGCAGTTTTACCGTCTGGTATCACCTCCCAGTAATGTGCACCACCTTCTTTAGCTGTTGCACTGGCTTCTGTAAAAAAATTATTTGACAATAAGAGCAAATCTAAAGATCAAAGTGAAAAAAAAACATTAACTAATTTATTTCTATGTGTATCAATACGATTACTGTCTAAATTTACGTTTTTCTTTTTTGCTAACAAAGTGACGCTAGAAATTTTATTAACTGAGCGCATAAATTGTTTTTAGTTAAAAAAAAAAAAAAGAAAACTCTGTTTAGCAGCAAAGTTAACAACTTTTTTAAATGTCTTTTTTGATAGAAACTATTTTATTGTACGCAGAAGACAAAACTTCTTGTATTATTATCGTGCTTCTACCTTACAATTAACTTCAACTTCTTGATTTTTAGCTGTTAACTTTTTTTGGTAAAGAAGAAACAATAAGTTTTTAAAAAAGTATCGACTAATTTAAACCTACTAACCTGCCGATGTAACAGCACGTTGGAAAAATAAACGATTGGATAAGGCTGGATCGTTAACAATTCCAACTACCCAAATACCATATTTTTCTCTTCTTTCTTTCAAATATTCTGTAAAAACAAAAAAAAAATTCTAGACAACTTGCTTTTTTCCTTCTTTTCAAAGTTATATTATAGAGAATTTTTCAGTCACTGATAAAAAAGAGTAAAAATTTAATAGTCTCTACTGTAGTAATCAATCCGTCAACTATAATAAAGTACTGCTTATAAAAAAAAGCATTATTTTCATTTTTTTTTTGACATCTTTGCAAACTAATGTTACACTTCTGAGTTAATAGATGGATTACCAATAATTTGTCATTGCTTCAAATACGAAAAGAAAGAGGGGATGCCAATGAGTATATCCAAAACAATAAAAATATTGCATGTGTTTACTGGAAGAAGTGAGCAGGAAAGAAATGAGAAGACAATTTTTATTTCAATAATAAAACTGACTAAAGTTGAGAAAAAGGAACTAATCATTGTCACTAAAACATTTGAAATTTTTCTTTTTTTTTTTCTTGTTGATACACGCACATTTGCTTCTTGTTATTTAGAAGCCTAAAGAACGTCTAAAGCACAACTTTTGACTGGCATCGCCTATGAAACGATACCGTTTTGCAACCGCCCTTCCTCCGTCACCCCTTTCTCCCCTCTCCCAGGTTGCGAATAGTATGTTTTGCAGAGGAAAATAAAGAGAAAACTTTGAAGAAAAAAGCAAAAAAATTTCACTTAGTTTCAGCAAATTTTCAATTTTTCCATTTGATTAATTTTTTTTACGCGCAAAGTGTTGCAAACCTCGACAAAAGAAATATTTTTTCTATGGTTCTTTTTTCTTCAAATTTGCTTATTTCAATACTCTTTCCACATTTGCTTTTACCTTCTCAATAATTCAATAAGAGTGAAAAATTTTTTTCTATTTAGCAAACTTTTATAATAATCTTGCTGTCTCTTTTTTTCCTTTTCTCAGCAACATTAACAGCAAAAAAGTAGCGAAAATCGTGATTAAACCAAATTGCAGCAACCAATTTCCTTCTCCTTTTTCTGTCACCTTCCCCCCCCCCCACATCCGCTTCTACTTTCCCCTTACTCAAAAAAACCCAGCTTAACCATTCTGTGACCACTTTAGTGCATAAAGCAAATCAGATTAACCTCAGTTTTTTACACTTTGAAAAAAGACTGACTGAAACGGCATTTATTATTTTATTTCTAGACATAAAATGTTAACTGAAGGTAGTGGAAAAAGCGAGAGAAATAGTGGAAAAAAAGCAGGATCAATGAATTTCTCCATCTAACCAATTTTATTTGTAAGTCTTAGAGAAGGCTTTTAGAGATGCAGTAAATGATTGATTAAAGCAAATAGTCAAACAATCTGGTAAAAATAATATCTATAAA